TCTCCATCCATAAAAAAGGATTTCAACAAAAGCCAGAATAGTCTGTTCTTCACTGAACCACTTGCTCACAAATTCTGGCTACCCACAATCAACAAAGTCACGAATAGATAAACTGCATGTGCGGAAACACGGTTCACCGCTGCTCATTGGCAAACTCCTGCCACTGGCTAAACACACTATCAGCCACCAATACACAGGTGTCTAACTGTCAACCAGCCCAAGAGCGAAAGGATAGCAATGCCAAGAGAAGAGGTTAGAGGTATGAAAAAAAGACGTTTTGTTCTTATAGCTTCCATTACTGCAGAATACTTAAAAATCTTCTGACTAAAGATGAGGAAAAAAAAAATTTTTAAAATTGCAGTAGGGGGAGAAGGGGCTGTTCACTAGGAGCACAATCCATGAATACTGCCAGGGACATCAACCTGAGACACTGAACCATGCACACATATCTCTTAGAATATAACTAGTTGCAGATATAACATATCTTTAAAAACAGAGCCATGATTACAAAATCCTTAATTGTACAAATAATTGGTTTGACAAGAAGATGCCAGTAGCTTAACTGGGAAAGACACTGAGCATGTCTACTCAATGCAACAAAAAGCTTAGCACATATTAATAACTTTGAGCATGTGTTTAAGTGTCGTGTCCATCCACTGTGCTCAGCATCTTGATGGATTAAACTACAAACAAAATGGGAGTGAACATTTTTGGCTAATATGTGATTTTTGTCACAAGGGCAGAGTTAAGGGTGATTTGCTGGGCAGGAAGCATACTATTTTGTTCAAACACACATGTATTGAATAGGACTAGATAAAAACTGTTTCGCCTATATAACTTGCTGTCAATTGCTTCTGACATAGTACAATTCCGACTGTGCGTACAATGCTCATTCGGATATGTTGATGTACCAGAGTACGCTCTAATTTATTAATGACTATGTGCATTGTTGGTGTTAGTGCTGGGACAATCCTGGCTGTGACTCCATGTAGTGATTTCCTGTTGGAATTTCCTTGGTGTTTTTTATACTATGAAATATGAAGAGAAGTTCATGATCAATTGTGACTTAAAATCCTGAGCTGTAGTTTTGATTCATGTGATCAGAAGTAAAATATCTACATTTTACTACTACAGTATTCCTGCAGATATAGATAATTTCTTTTCATTTCCGCATTTTAGATGTATTGAGATAGCAGTTTTGAAAAATAATTTATGGCTCTATAACAGCCATTAGAAAATATGATCCAAGAATAATTCTTTAGTTGTGATTATTCTGTTAAACTCTTTGCAGTGGCTGTGGGTTGCACTTGAAGATTTTGCCGTCTAGATTCCTTGCTGGAAAGGTAAGAAAATCTGTTGTTGTTGTTGTCTTCATTCCTAGGCAGGATACTGAAGACTATCTGGAAGGTTTTCAAATGCAGCAAACTAGCTGCAAATGACTTAATTTCGGGGTAATCATTCTGGAATGCCTTAGAAGACCTGATTTTCTGAGGAGGCTGAGCACCAACTGCTGAATATAAGGACTTCTGTAAAGCAGTGGAAATCACAGTTAGTTGAAAACTAGTTATTTGACTGCATTAATGCAGCATCCATTTGTGAAGTGTTGCAATACTGATAAACTACAGCAATGTTTGTATTTTGATACTTTCGAAGGAAAGCTATGGGGATAAGCAGATAGCTGAAAGGCTGAAAAAAATTAGAGCATCAGAACTAGGCATCTGAAGCCAAACAATATTGTTTTCTTCAAACATGGATAGAGTAATCTGCCAATGAGAGCTCTCTTCCCAAGCTTCCTGCTTTCTTTATAAGCAATAGCAACATATCAAGTTAGTTATGGGGAAAGAGATGGTGAAGATTGCCACTGATGTCCTGATGTACTGACAGATGAGCCAAGCTACTGTCATAAGTCTGACCACAATCATAGCACTTAAATACAATAAAATGATTTCACAAACAAAATTAATTCTGCTACTCACCTAACTTCTACCAGGCTACTTTGCTCCTGAAGTTTCAGGACATGAAAAGACTAATTGCTTAGGAAGTAATTTTCCAAAGCATCTACTAGCTTTAGGAGCACAAGTCTAAGCCATTTGGTGTCCTGCTCTCAGCAACAACCCATTTGTCAGCTAACAGGTTCTATATCAGAAAAGAGACTCTCAAACTTTCTCAGTGGGCCCATTTTTATTTAGTTTTTGCTCAAACGAATTAGCCGTTTTTCACCACAAACCAATCCCTGCTCACAGACGGTGACTCTATTCAACAGGGCATTTAAGCATGTGCTTAATTCATCCACCTCAACAGGGAATAAGCAAGCACATGCTTCAAATGAAGACAAAACACATGCTTAAATCTCCCACTGAATTGTCCCTGAGTGCTGCCATTGGGGTGAGATCCTTTGAGTCCTTTGTACAACATGAGCTTGAACCTCCGCTTTTCTTGCAGAACTGAACACAACAAGAGCTGCCAGGATGCCTTCATAGTCATTTCTCTAGAGCTCATTCAGTCCCTCCTGACTTGTGTCCTGGCACATCTCACTGTCCACCACCTCAAACATCCCCTTGTGGCTAAGGAGGGCAGGCCTGTACTAGAGGCAGTATCGGCAATGCATGACAGATGACAAACACAGGTCAACAAGCTCTCTGTCTACACAATCTACAGCCAGGAGCACACATCGGACGACCTGCGGGCATGTGGGTATGGGTGTGCAGGTCTTGGGGGGAGAGTCCCCTCACGCATCCTCGTACGCAGGTTACCTCTTGCTTGTCATGGTTACACTTCTCGCACATGGCCGGCGAGGAGTAATGATGGAAGACGGAGCCCGATAGGTTATCGATGATCATTAACTCCCCGTCGAAGGAGTCCTTAATAATTAAAGAGACACTGTCCAGCCATAAGTTCTCCTAGGGGACAAGAAAGGGGGGAGGATGGGAGAGATCATTTTAAGAATGATCATGTGAATTTGGGGCTGGGTTCTCCACCCTGACTCATCTGGAGCAGCACCTTGTTCTGCAGGTACCTGCACAGGGTCACTGGGGGAGCATTTGCTCCTTAGGGTGTGTAAAAGTGCCAGAGCTCAATGCAAGAAAAAAAACTCAGAAGGAGGGACTGTCTTCACTCACTGACAGTGCACCACGGCACTGCTCACGCCTCCCTTCCAGCTCTGCTGGAGTGCCTCACTCTTGATCTGCCATTTCCCCTGCTCTCTTCTCCTGAGCTCCCCTCTCAAATTTGCTCCTAACACACCTTTAGCTGATCTGCTCCATTCCTCCTCTGCTGGCCCTCAGGTTCCTACACCAAGATGACAATGAACAGGACCCACTGTTGTCACAGCCTTGTCCCCACACGATGCTACCAACTCAAAAGTCTACTGCTGAAAGCAAACCTCTCACCCTGAGGTGGAAGAGTCTATTTGCTACTGCTAAGCCCTCAGTCATCTAGGCTGCCCAGCTTCTCCCCACAGCTACTTGCTCCAGTCTGGTTGGTAAGCTCAAAGGTGTACTCACCTGTGCTGGAGAGTAACATCTCATGCACAGACGTCCTTCAGGATCTGTTCTCCCACCGCCTCCTCCTGTTCCTGCTCCTTTTCCCTGGCCTGAATTCGGGGAGCCTGACTTGCGGGAGCACAGCCCATGTGCAATTTCCAGCTCAATCTCAGCATCCATCTCTGCATCCTCCTGGGCCTCCTTGTTGCTGTCGTCGAGGTGTTTCATGAGCACAGCTACCACCACATTGATGAGGACAAACTGGGCTGTGAGCACAAAGCTGACAAAGTACAGTGGGGAGATGAACTGCAGGTTGCTGAGGCAGCTCCGGTCATCGTGGCTGCAGTCACGCAAGGTATCCTTGAGGGGAAGTTGGGTTTGAGAGGGAACGATGGAAGGAAGGAAGGACTAAAGTAAGAATACAAGCTTGACTGCTCTTTCTGTCAAAAAACACTGATGCCAATGGAAAGAACAGGGCAAACGTTTCCATCACCCCACACTCTCTGGGATCACGAGGTCCTCAAACAATCAAGGACACTATCTGATCATGTGCTCTCTGCTTCAAAGCAAATACGTCCAAAGGTGTACAGAGCAAACTCCTTCCAGACCATCACATGTTGCTACCACTGTAGCTGCACACGTGAGCATGAACAAAATTGAGCAATCTGGTACTGCCTTCTCCCATCCAGACTCAAAAGCACTGTATGTGTTCAATGAACTTTCCCCTCTTCCTGTCCTTTGAAGGAAGAAAGCATTTATCACGGATTATCCAGGAAGCTCTGCAGATGGGTGCCATGTTGGATGCACCTACATTCAGCTTTGATAACAGGCCTTATGACAGTGGATATTCCCTCTTAGCCTGGCCAGTCGTCTTGTTCCTCCCAAGGACAATTTGTACTTTTCTCAGCCAGATGTCTGTAGGACTAGATGAACCCAAGTTCTGAGTTACCGTGATGAGGAGGGAGATTCTGGCCCAAACAGGGACCTTATCTAGCAACCCAGCTCCTGCACTCCTTCCCTTTTCTAGCCCAAGCACTGCTGAACAGAGCACACATCAGAATTTCTCCTTCCCAACAATAAGGACATCCACACTCCTGAGGCCCAATTACCTTCATGATCCCATTCCAGTTGTCACCCGTGGACACCTGGAAGAGTGTGAGGAAGGCCATCCCAAAGTTCTCAAAGGTGGCGTGGCGGCTCATGCCCTCGCAGGGGTTCTCATCATTGCATACTGAAAGGAAGGGGATCGCAGCTATCAGCAGAGGACACACTGCCGGCCCTGAGATCAACAGCAGGAACTGGGGAAGGGGACTTCAGGCTTCTTAGAGCCTAGAGACCTCAGGTAATGGCCTCAGCACCCTGCCCAGCAGTTGGCTGTTGGCCAGCAATACTGAAAAATGCCTGATGGCCTAGCCCCAGGATATCAGGCTGTGTAACTCTCAACACATTGCTGTGCTGCCTTTCTTCTTGATCAATATTCCATGGCAAGAGACATAAATAAGCCTTCCCTGAGTTTTTCCTGTAATTTTGAAGGCAATATCAAGGTAGGCAGTGCAGAAAAAGCAAAAGTTTAAGAATGAAAGAGAAACCAGACACTACTTTTATTTTGTTAGGATGTTAGGACAGTAACAATTTAGAGGGAAATTCCTCTTACATTCATTACGTATAAGGGAGAATAAAGGTCACCAAGTAATTCAGTCCCTTTATTGAATGAGTACTGATTTTGAGAAACCTGAGCTTCCCAGCAGGTCTGTAGCTCTCACTGGAGCATGGTCGGCTTGAGACTTACCCAGTTTTCCGAAGAGCTCCACTCCTAGAGCAGCGTAGATGAAAAAGAGGAGCATGAAAAGCAGTCCGAGGTTTCCCACCTGAAAGCAAATGGCATGGTCAGCCTACCCCAAAGCCTATTTCATTTGTACAGGCAAGTGTTTCTGTCTTTCAAAGCCTGAAGAAAACAGCAGCAAATTCCCAGTGTACAAATGCAACCAAACAATTGCTCAACACTTGGGAAATCACCAGTGATGGCACCGGTTGCAACTGGACTTCAAGGATGCTCTTTTCCCAGTTGCCTCCATTCCAGCACAAGCTCTGGCCAGGGCTGACTGAAGTGTGCAGTTTCTGGGCCAGGTGAAGACAAGCACATGAGAGCAGGGGCAGAGAAGGTGAAGCCATTTTGGCTGTGTGAAGGACAAGCTATGGACTGCAGCATAGAGACATGTCCTGCAGTGCTACATGCCCCACCAAACTGCCCAAGTCCCTTGAAGCTATGCTCATGTGAAGAGTGCAATAGCAGTGCTCCAAAAAAACAGGGACACAGGTACACCAGCTCCTGCCATGAACCAGGCAGAGCATGGTGGGGCCAAGCACCAGCCACATGTGGAGGTTACAGCAGGGCTTGCGGAGGAACTAGGTAGGCGGGAAGGAAGAAGGGTAAAGAGGCCCTCTTGAAATGTGTGGAGAGGAGGAGAAGAAGAGAGAAGAGGAGACTACGAAGGAGCCAAGAGAGGAAGCGGAGCTTGCTTTGCATCTCGTGAACAAAAGGTCAAAGCCTGATTTCTGGGCCTCCAGCAGCTGCTGTTTGGAAACCCCCCAATGCGAGGATTGCTGCTTCGTGGTGCACAAAGGCAGCAGTGCCACCAGGAACATGGGCACTGCCCCCAAGTTCTCTCTCTCCCAAATCACTGCTTGTGGGGCAGGTGGGTTGTATGTGAGGAGCAAAGGGGGTTTTGGAAGAGGTGGGCTAAACAGTAACAGAAAATGTCAGTAATGGTTAGCACACCGTTGGTGGAACAGGAGAAGGCAGGGAAAAATTAAGGACCTAACTGGTATATAGCTGTTTTTGAAAAACTGAACAGTGTCTGGTCTGAATGCATGTGGTCACTGGGCCTTTGTTAGGATCATCCACTTCAGAAATCTAATTTAGTCATTGCAACTGCTGTGCCATCCAAATTCAGGAAAGAAATGAATGCTTCAGCCCACCCACTCCCCTGGGCTGCCAGATCCTGGCTCCCTACATACTCAGTGGAAGAAATTATTTCTGATTACTAAATTGGACACCATAGTAAATGCTCTGAACACACACCTCTGGGTCTGTGTCTACAGGGCATTAAGAAAAAGAAGTTAATAAAACTTAGCTAAGGGCTAAATTTCCAAAGGGCTCTTTAAAATTAAACCTCTATTCACTATTAAGAATTGTTGCAGTATAACAAAGACAGGAAGGGAATTGAAACAGGACAACTGGAGATGCCTTATATGCCATTAGCAAGCCAAAATCTCTGATGTGAGTCTGTGCTCTAGGAACATAAAGAGAAAGGTCGAGAGGAGGAAAAAGCACAAGGGAAAGGACAGCTTATTTTAAACTACTTCTTTTGGCAAAGCCAATAAATCTTGGAGAATAATATTACAGATAATTCAATTGTCCCCTGAAGACTCAGTGTATAAAATATGGAGACTAAATTCAATCTTTTAACACTGAAACTGGGGGATTTTAGCCCTGCTTTAAGTGCAGATTTTTACACAACTTTAACTATGGAGTGATTTTTGATTCCTCTGTTATATAACTTTATTAAATGAAGCCAACCTGTTATAGAAGGAAGCAAAAGGCAATCAATAGGAAGTGGATTGATCACAGGCTTTGATGCTGCAAGGATTAAGCACTACTTGGTATTACCTTTCAGGGAAAACCTAAAGGCCAACCTTTAGATACCTGCTTGTGAGGGTTTTGTGGCAGATATTAATAACCTCCAAAAGACCTGACCTATCATCTTGGTAAGCAAAGGAGCTGTAGGTGAATGTGAGAGAGAAAAGCCAGAATTTATAAAGTGTGGAAGAATACACTTGTGGTTTGTGGCTAGGACCAGACAGCAGGGCTCAGAGGCTTGAATTGAGGTCCCAGCTGTGCCTTTTGCTATCCTGAACAAAACACTTCACTGCCCAATGACTCTGTTTCTCCATCTACATGACAAGGATATGAACATTTCCTCCTCTCCTGTTTATTCTTTATATTTTGGGGGTAGAAGTTGAGTGTCACCATTTAAGAGTGACAGAGTCCTCTTACTGAGGGCTTCTGGATACTACTTCAGCCAGCTTTTGATATGTGTGTTGCGTTTATCTGGGTTGGAGAATAAACATGCCACAGACATACAGATGCTGAATCTGGAGACCTGATCTGTTCCAGATCCTCGCCTGAGCAAATCAGCTGTTGTAGCTCCTGGAATGGAAAAGAGCAAGGTGCAAAGAAGCTGCACTGAGCCAGCCTGGGGCAGCAAAGCCAGAACTAATAAACGTTACTGCCTGCTGTAAGGACACCCGTAATCTCCTGTTCTTTCCTTTGTCCATTGTATCTCAGCCTGCAACTATCCTGGATGACAATATTATTATATATCCTATGTAAGAATGGTATTATTATTATTATTAGACAAAAATACAAATTATTATTGTATAATGAAAAGCATGAGACATCAGACAGAGCACAGAATCCAGGAAAGATCCTGGATTTCCCCCTCACTTTTGTGCCACGAGATTCCTCTAATTCATATTGACATTTATTGTCACCACATCAGAAGTAAACTCCTTGGGTAACTACTCATGCTGTTTTCAGATTGATTCTCAGCTCTGCATCACTCACCAGAACTGGCACATTAGCTGATAAATCAACTGACAAATGCCCATGCATTTTGATATCATGCAAGATAGCTGCCTGCTCGGGGCCTGCCAGGGGAATGGTCTGATGTATGATCAGTAGAGCCACTTGGTGCCATTACTCCTTGCTTAACAATTCTCTCTGGAGGATCCAAAAGGAAGGGGACCAGTCTCCCTGGCTGCTCATCCATCACAGAGGATCCTCACAGTGGGCTTGAAGCCTGTGTAAAGCACCATGTCAGCATCTTATTCGGGAACAGCTGCCGCTCACAGCTCGTGAAATCCTTCTGTCTAGCTGTCTTGCAGTAGACACTTAACTGCCGGCTGCGTGAGCCACAACAGAGCGCGTCACTGCTTCTCATACATGAGAGGCTCAGAAACACAAAGGGGTCCAGGAGGAGAAAGGAAGAAAAGAAAGCAGGAAGGGGGAGGCACTGGCTAAGACAAGGAGTGACAGGAGTGCAAATGAAAGAGAGGAGGGGAAAAGGGGGTGCATGTGGGGAAGGGTGAGAGGGGCAGAGACCCAAAGACCTCCTTCCCTCCTGAAATGGCTGCCAGTCACTCTCCCCTTCTTACGGAGAGGTGAGAGAGGAGCTGGGGTCTAGCTGCAAGTGACAGACACTAGCTAGACATGATAGGAAGAAATCTGCCCTTACCCAGGAATCAAGTCTTATTTCATTTACCCACTGGAGAACAAAGACATGAGGTGAACTGTACCCCCATGACTGACATGAAAACTTGGACATCACCTTCACGCAGTTGCCTGCACAACACAGTAGACACCACCTCTGAGACTCCACAAGAATCAACCCTTTGGAAAAAGGGTGCATGGCAGGAGGGTTGGACTAGATAACCTTAAAGTCCCTTCCAACCCAAACTATTCTATGATTCTATGATAAAAGGAAAGTCTTTGGGGCAGCTGGTCTGTTTTACCTGTGGCAGGGCTTGAACAACCGTATCCAGCAGTGCTCGCATTCCTGTGGCCATCTTCAGTAGCTTCAGAACTGCCACAACAAGCACAAGAGAAATGTCACCCAGACTGAGCTCGGAAGGTCCATCCTTTGTGTGACTTACTAATGGCAGTAGCAAAAGACAGATGTCCTGTCTCCCCTTGCCCTAGAAAAACTGTATTGTCCCCCTTGGTCCCCTTCTCCCTTTGCCCACCTCTTTTGACTATACAACCCCAGTGGTTCCTTCTCCTCCAGTGCATTTCCTTCTTACTAAATACTGTGTTTCTGCCACCCGTGCCTATCGGGCTTTTTCTGCTTCACCCAGACAGTGATCAAGAGCCCTCTTTCTCCCAGCATTGTGTATCACAATTCTCCTTCTGCTCTGATTTTTCATTCCATCATTTTCTCTTCCTCCAGCCACCATCTGTTAAGGCCGCTTAGCATATCTTGGCCACCACCAGGAAGATTCAGTCCTCTCTCTGTGCAAACTTCAACCTGCTTGGTGGCCCATTCTCCAAGCACCACTGCCATTCTTGCCCCATAAAAGAACAACAGAGAAAGTTCAGCTTCTGCATGAACTGCTCACCTTCTTGGTCCCTCACCACCTGTTAAAAACACTGCATCTAAATGCCTGGCTTAAGAAAGCCAGAAAGCCTTAGCCTCTGGGCTGTCTTCCATCACATCCCCTGCCTCCCTCCCAGGGCTAGGAACAGGGGGAGCCCATGACTCTACAGCTGCTGCTCAATGAGTCATGGCACCAAGTCCCACTCCATGGCCATCTACACCCCTGCCTCCGGACGGTGTCTCCCTCACCCCGGGCGATGCGCAGCACCCTCATGATCCGGATGATAGTGGGGTTAATTGGGAGAGCGGCATTGATTTCAATCTCTTCCAATGTGATGCCCATGACAGACAGCAGCACAATGGCCAGATCTAGTTGGTTCCACCTTAAGGAGAAAAATTGAAGAGAATAAAGGAAGATGGAGTTTTTCCATTTCCCTGAAAAAGAAAGTGAATTGTCTACAATTTAACCTAAATATTTCTTTATGTATGAATTCAAGGCCCCACTCTGAGTCAGCCTATATGGGCTTTTGCAGACAAATAGAGATTCACTTTGCACACACCCTGAGCAGCCAAAGGCAAGCCAGCCTGATCTGAAAGCATGGAGCTTTGTTACTATGGTGCTATGCTTTGACTAATGGGCTCAGCTTTTTATGGCCTTACTACCTCGAATCAGCTTCGTTATGTATGTTCTGCTTCAGCATGCTCCCAGTTTGCCTCAAGGGCAGGAAAAAAATGGCTCTCTCTAACCCCACCTCCTTTGTTTTCTAGCCTAACCAGCAGATGCCAACCAAGAGGCAGTTTTTGGACAACTCTTACTATTGCCTAGGCATTGCAGCTCATGTGGGCTGAGGCTAGGTCCATGCTGTGCAGAACTGGGAGGCAGTCGGGGCACTCTGCTACCACCTCAGGTTCCAGATAGGGATCCATCCTCAAAACCTCCACCCCAAACCCAGTTATCCCACAGCCATGGTTGACATAACCCTCTGCTCACCTGTCTTTGAAGAATCGCCGCAGACCGAATGCCACCAGCTTGAGGGCTGCCTCCAACACAAACACAGTGGTGAACAGGTAGTTGCAGTACTTGAGGGCGGTCTCCAAGGACTGCCAGCAGAAAGAGAGGGTAAAGAATTGAGGCAAAAGCAACATAAAGCACATAACCTGTGTGTGGGACTCTCCTGAGTGCCAGGAATTCATTAGGAGGTGGTGAAGCTGCCCCATGTTTCCTACCTACTTGAATGTGGAGGCTACCTACTAAGGGCAACCATCAGCTGGTCCTTCTGCCCCATGCTGTTCTCAGGATCAGTTATTGCTCCCTTCTCCTGTAGTGCTCAGCATAATGGGGAGAAGGTGGCTGTTGCGAGGATAATCCACCAAGTACCATCAGCCTCCTCCTCTGCCAGGAGCCCATGCCACCATGTTAATGGCACTGGCATAGCTATCGACCAGAGGTGAGGCACGAAGGTTACTCCAGTTGTGGATACATGTTATCTCTGATGGGAAAAAACCCCTCTGTGCCTTGGTCTGGGTCAGGCATATGTCATGCCACCATTTGGTGGCACTTTGTACTGGAAGGGTTCGAAGTGCTTTGGCAAGATTCTTTAGCAAAGCCTGTCAGCAGGCTGGCATGGCTAGATCTGCGTCCCAAGGAAAGGAGCTGAGGAGTAAGGAAGAGGAGTGACTTGTTCAGGAACAAAGGCCTGACGTGAGGATGACAACAGATAAAGGTTGAGAGCTCCTGCAGAGTAAAACTGGGCACCATCAAGGGCAAGATAAAAGGTGGGCAGCTGGGCAAGATGGGCAAGAAATAGAGGAGACTGGACAGACAGATTCAGTTCCTGATCAAAGCCTTGGACAGCATCTGCTCAGGTACCGGAGCTGTCACCTCAATCAAGGGTCTCCTGAAGAGAAAACTGAAATGCCACCAGGCAGTTGTCATGATGAATGCTTTGTCTACACATGGAGGCAGAAAGCTCCTTTGACATGTGCAGCATCCATTTTTTCCATCAGAGGCATCTAGAGCTTTGCCAGGAACACTGAGAGGTACCTGGTCTTCCCCAACCAAAGTATAAAACTTATTTGGCCTTTAAGGCCCTTTGCTGGGAATCGGCCCCTGCAGCTGAGAGAGACTCTGCTCAACGCCTTGCCCCCGCAGCTTCTCTTATGCAAAAAAGGTGGCTCAGTAAAGACATCCCATCCCATGATACACAACCAGCCACTCTAGTCATTTCAGCTCAAGCCATATGGCAGGAGAATTGAATTGACATTTGGAAATCTGATGCAAAGCCTGAAGCTCCCAGGACACTGCTGTTTCCACCACTCCTCCTGTTAGAATCCAGGGGAACACAAAGCAGACCTGGCAGCTAAATTTGGGTGACCCACATACCCACTTAATAATATAAAGCACAGAGATTTAACTGCACTGCGCTGTGCTTTCTAGGGGCCCGACTTTTGCTTAGATACCTTATCTCTATTGATTTTAATGGATAACAAGTGTCTGAGTAGGGGCTACCTTTCTGGATATATACGAAACTCTTCACATGACTTTGTCTACTACATTAACTCTTGCAACACTTTAATGGTACTTTTTAGAGACACTCAATTGTCATACCTATTCTGGTGGGCAGTGGTCATCAGAGAGCTGTAGCAAAATAACATAATGACTAGAGGCAGGGCTTATCTCCATGATCTCACTCACCACAGGTTGGTTGTAGTGCTCCAAGGACATAGTGACCACGTTGAGGCAGATGATGAAAGTGATGAAGATGTCCAGATAGTGGCTGGTGCAGACCGAATGAATAAGGAGGCGTATGGGGCAGTAGGTAGCATAGTACGGCAAACGCTGCGCCTCTTCAGTGGAAAGAGGGAGATGGGCAGAGTTAGGAAGAAATTGGAAGAAAGAGAGAAATGGGTAAGAAACACTGAAGAGGGAGAAGGGCATAAAAGTGGTGATACGTGGTGATACGTGAAAGAAAAGGGAATGACAGCGGGAGAGAGAAAGAACAGAAAAAGATAGGTAAAAGATAGGGGACATAGGAAGGAGGGAAAAAATGCAAAAAAGAGGACAGTAGAAGTGGGGAAAAAATAGGCACAAAAAAGACAAGGAAAGGAATGCTAGAAAGAAAATCTGTTACTCTACGTTTGTGGGAATGGTGCTAAATCAGCATTTCATGCCTCAATAAATTAAGATCACAAATGATAAAAGGGAGCAGATGGTTCCAGGAGAGGCCCCGGGGTGTCAGAGGAGAGAGGGAAAAACTGGAGCAGAGGAAGGGAAAGCATGCCCACAGGCTGTGAATGGAAGAAAACCATCAGTCTGGGGTAGTAGGGATGATTTCCAGGGGCGAGTATGCTTTTGCAATTTTTGTCTAAAAGTAATACAGAAGAGGACAGAAACACCAGGAAGAGGGCTTGCTTCACCCCAGAGGGTCTGGGGCTCCAAGGAGTGACACTGCAACATCGATGGAAAGAGCCAGGAACAAAACACAGGGGTCTTCCTCTTTTTTTTTCCCTCCCTCTTCTTTAAATTTTGGTTTAAACACAAAGGAATGTCTGTCCAGGTCTTCCCCCAAACACCAGCTGCGTTGCAAGAAGCCCAGGTGGGACTATCCCAAGCCCAGGAGGTGTACCAATGCATGCACGTCCTGTGTCAACAGTGCACGCCAGCGGGTGCACAGGGGTATTTTTGGTACATGTTATGTCCCGAGGGGCAAGGTGCTAAAACCCCAGCAGCTTCCCCGGAGTCCCAGCAGAACTCGTCAGCCACCCCTCTTCCCCAGACCGCCCCGGTGAGGTGCGTAGCGACACGGCAGTGGCACGGGGAGGAAGGCTGAGAGCGTGGCCACAAGCGATGCATTTCGGAGACCAGTCCGTCGGGGAAAAAAAAAAGAAGAGGAGAAGGTTTTTCTTAGAAAACCTTGGCCTACGAACCGACCAAACACTTAGGCTGTGCCTTACTCCTTCGCTTCTTCTCCAGGCGGCGCAGGCGCTTCTCCTCCCGCCGGCGCGCCT